CCATTTTGCCCATAACCTCTCTCTTCTACAAACTTGGGGTGCTCCTTGGGGGCCTCCTCAAGTTATAATTCCAAACTATATAAACCCATTCAAAACTTCCCACCAAACCAATGTGGGACAAGCCAATTTCTAATCCTTAAGAAAATTTCCACCAAAAGCTCCATTTCCATGGAGCACACTTTGGCTTCAATTTTCTATTCACTCGATAATAGTTTTGAGCAACCAAATATACCACGTGAATCACAACGTGGCATAGAACACGTTACCACTTTGACTCGCAAAAATCGACGCACGGGTCCCATCTAAAAATTAGACCAAAGTTAGGAAAAAATTCTGTTTTACCCATAATTTTTCCAACCATTTCCAACAAGTTATGAGATGTTGTTATGAAATATGTGATTAGTGGTTATGAGATGTATGATATTTGTTATGAGATGTGGTTACGAGATATGTAACATTGGTTATGATCAAAGTGGTATGGTTACAAGCCAAAGGGTATTGGTCATGAGATGTAGTTATGGGATATGTGATTAGTGGTTGAGTAAAGTGGTGTGGTTATGATCCAAAGAGTGTTGGTTATGAGATATGTGATTAGTGAGTAAAGTGGTATGGTTATGAGATATATGACCAATGGTTATAAGATATATGATATTAGTTATGATCAAAGTAGTGTGACTATGAGCCAAATGATGTTATGAGATATGTCGTTAGTGGTTATGATATATGTGATATTTGTTATGAGCCAAAGAGTGTTGGTTATGAGATATGTGGGTAATGGTTATGACATATATGATTACTAATTATGAGATATGTGATTTTGGTTATGAGCAAAGTGGTGTAGTTATGAGTCAAAAGGATGGTTGGTTATGAGATATGTGATATTTGTTATGAGATGTGGTTATGAGATATGTAATGTTGGTTATGATTAAAGTGGTATGGTTACGAGCCAAAGGGTATTGGTTATGAGATGTAGTTATGAGATATATGATTAGTGGTTATGAGTAAAGTGGTGTGGTTATGGGCCAAAGAGTGTTGGTTATGAGATATGTGATTAGTGGTTATGAGTAAAGTGGTGTGGTTATGAGATATATGACCAATGGTTATAAGATATGTGATATTAGTTATGATCAAAGTGGTGTGACTATGAGCCAAAGGATGTTATGAGATATGTCATTAGTGGTTATGATATATGTGATATTAGTTATGAGCCAAAGAGTGTTGGTTATTAGATATGTGGGTAATGGTTATGAGATATATGATTACTGATTATGAGATATGTGATTTTGGTTATGAGCAAAGTGGTGTAGTTATGAGCCAAAAGGGTGTTTGATTACGAGATATATGATTATTAGTTATAAAATATGTAATATTGGTTATGTTCAAAGTGATGTGGTTATGAGCAAAAGGGTGTTGGTTATGAGATATGTAATGTTGGCTATAAGTCAAAAGGGGGTTGGTTATAAGATTTGGTCATGAGCTATATGAGTAATAGTTATAAGGTATGTGATTAATGGTTATGAGATAGGTGATATTGGTTATGATCAAAGTGGTGTGGTTATGAGTTAAAGGATATTGATTATGAGATGTAGTTATGAGATATGTGATTATGGTTATGAAATATGTGATATTGGTTATCAACAAAATGGTGTTGATTATGAGATGTGGTTATGAAATATATGATGAGAGCTCATAACTAAGTTATGATTAATTTGATTCTAGTTATGAACAAATATGATTTTGGCTCATAACTATTAAAAGTGACTTGTTTACCAGGTCACTTTTAATGATGTGGCTCAATCTTAGCTATTGATTTTCTATGTATCATACATTTTTTAAACAAAATGTACTATAGACTTTCCCTCAATGGAGTTGGTAGATACTGCTACAACTAAAATTTGAATGAAAATCACAAAAAGGCAAACCTGAAATCTAGGACCCATTTTCTCGTGATTGTTTATTTGATATATTTTTATTTAAGCTTCAATTCATTGAGGCTTATATGGATTTCCTCTTTGAAATTTGTTGTCTCTAGAATTGTTGTCTTTTAAGTTTTTGCCTTTGGAAATTTTTTTGTCTGTGGAGCAGATATTGTGTTTTTTTTTTTTTTATTTCTGAAATAAAGATTTAATTTATGTAGTTAAGATTTTATTTATATGGGTTTTCAGTAGCATTTTGATATGGATGTGGAACTTGAGAATGATTGTGCGTGGAAGCCAAAATAGGGAACAACACACAATTTGATAGATAAAAATTATAAAATTTCTTAATTTGAGTGTGCTCATTACCCTATTTAAATATAAATTCACACATTTAGATTTATCAAATTTTAAATAATTTTTAGAGGAAATTCTATGATGCACATCATATTTATCTTGTTACATGTTTTTGTAGAGTATATTTTGCATTTTAATGGCAAATGTTATGTAAATTTTTGGTAGAATTACTACAATTTATAATTCTGAAACAAAGTTACACATTAACACAAAAAGTGTAACTTTATCTTTCAATTATAAAATGCCATAATCATATTAAAAAATTAAGTAATATTTATCATAAAAATATATAACATATATAATAAAATAACATAATAAGGACGCATAACATGATGATTAGTGACATATTAAAATAAAAAGATAAATTATAAATATATTTTTTGAGATTGCATAAAATATAAATTACTCCTTGTGATTTTAGAAATTACATCTCATCCTTTCAATTTTCTAATTGTGGCCTATTTTGGCAAGCTAGTAAAAAATTAATTTTTAATTTTTTTTAGGTCACATTATTATCTCTTTATTTTTTTACACGTTATTTCAAAAAAAGTTTTAAAAAGCCAAAAAAACAAAATTTTAACCTACTTTTTTTAATAATTTTTAATAATGTTAAAAATATAATAAAAAAGTAATTAGAAAATTTATTTTTTTCTACTATTAATTTGGTTAAATAAAAATTATGATAAAAAAGTATTTATAATTTTTATTTATATTTTAAATAAATTTCAAATAATATATTCGTACTTAGCCTCTGTTTGGGGAGTGAGTTGACTTTTTGACTTTTTGACTTTTTAGCTATTTTAGCTTTGAGCTAAAAAGCCTGATTTGAAAAGAATTTTTTGACTTTTTGACTTTTTTTAACTTTTTTTGTGAGAGAAAAATATAATGATTATAGATTAGATTTAATACTTTATTTTTTGTGACTAAAATAATATATTTAATTTTTTGTGATTATTTTAGTCCCCCAAACTATGCCTTATAACGCGTTGAAACCAAAACATGTTTTGATTGGACTCATCAATGTAATATCTCAATCATGTGGGTGGGCATGCCTAGATCCAGAGAATGTCTGCTTTTTTTTTTTATAGGAACGCACGACTTGTCGTGTGTGAGTAACTCACCAGAAGAATATGAACGGATATAAAAAAGATGGCAGTATGGAGGAGAAGAAATTTTTGGGCGCAGATGGGGTAGGTGTTATGCAGTATTTTTATTTTTATTTTTTTATTAATTGAGGAGTCAAGAGCATCTCCTTACAATCCCGTCTTTGCGCCCGTCATCTTTGGGTCTATTTTTAAGCCTAATTTTGATAATTCGAACCGTTCATATTTTATGATTTATTCAGTATATCATACCTGTAAAAAATCAAGTTAATCGATATCAGAAAGCATGTGTTCGGAAAACTGTTTATTAAATTATTTAAAAAATAGTTTTTAGTTCAATTTTTCGAACACATGCTTTCTGATATCCGATCAACTTGATTTTTTACAAGTATGATATACTGAATAAATCATAAAATATAAACGGTTCGGATTATCAAAATTGAGTCTAAAAGTAGACTCGAAAGCCTGCAAGAATGGGTGCAAGGACGGAAGCTGCAAGGAGAGGATCCTGATACTATTTAAAAATATCATATAACACGTGTTTATCCCATTTTAAATAAGAAAACAGTAAAAAAATATTTTTATTTTTATGATTTAAGTGTTTTTTTTTTTTTTTCCTCCCTAAGGTTAGACTTGAATCAAATAACATTCATTTGTATTTTCAAACTGAAGGAAGTTTCTCTAGAGTATATAAATTGAATTAGAGGTTCCAACTCACGAGTTGTGGGTTTATTTCCACCTTTAGTGGGCGTTTGGCATTAACTTTTTTAGTTAATTTTTTTGAGTTGGGACTTTTTTTAGTTTGAGATTAAAAAATTTGTTTTACTTCGTTTTTTTAATTTTTGTAAAAGAAAAAGTGAAATGATTATAATTTTGATGTGATATTTTGTCTTATTAACTTATTTAACTTATTTTATTTTTTGTGTTTTTTTAATCCTATTAAGTTAGCCAAATGAATAGTGATCAAAATTGTTTCTCTTTAATGTCCATCAAATAAAAATTATAAATAATTGTGTTTACATTATAAAATGATATGATATAATTTATAATAAAATATATTACAAATCATTTTAATTAAAAAAAAGTTACTCCCATCGTTCCAAAATAATGGTCCATTTTGGAGAATATAATTTTTTTAACAGTATAATTATTACATTTTAAAAAAATTAATTTTCCAAAATTACCGTTTGATAGTACATTTTTTGAGAAATATTAATATCATAATTGTACTTTTTATGTTAATAAATTTAAAAGAATGACAAAATATAAAATTTATATTATTTTTATACTTAATTTTTAAAAAGATATTAATATTTTAAAACAATAAAATATAAAATAAGAGACTCATATTTAGGCCAAGTTTGGGAAGACAAGTGCACTTTTTGACTTTTTATGAAATATGGGTTGGATTTGGGTTGGGTTTGAAGTGATGTGTTAGAGAGGTGATGTGACTTAAATAAGATGATGTGACTTAAATAGGATAGTGACTTTTTGACTTTTTTGGAGGATGCCAAACTTGACCTTAGACACCGCGGAGTAGATAACTTGGTAATTACGAAAGTGGGCTCTAGCAGCTTCCTTCTTTCTTTCCGTCTTCAAACTTGAAGAACAAAGATGACGATTGCAATGAAGTCGGGTCAATCAAGTATCCAATTTACCATACTTTATTTTGAAGTTTCTTAAAAAATTTATGAACCTGCCTCTACTTCTCTCCCTATATGAACCATTAATCACTCAATCAATTATTCACTTGTTGTCAACCAGTCCTTGAACAAAAATTACCTCTTCTTCCCTCTCTCTTTCATTTTCAAATCTCCACAATTTTCTCACCCTTCTAAACACTTTGAATCCTACTTTGACAAAAAACCATTGATCAATGGGTCAACTTCATGTCTTCTTCTTCCCCATAATGGCTCACGGCCACATGATCCCAACTCTCGACATTGCCAAACTCTTCGCAGCCCACAGCGGCGTAAAATCAACCATAATCACCACTCCTCTCAACGCCCACCTCTTCGCAAAATCCATAGAAAGAGCCAAACACGCCGGCGTTGACATCAACATCATCACCATCAAGTTCCCCACCGCCGAGGCCGGCCTCCCGGAAGGCTGCGAGAGCGCCGACCAACTCACTTCCGATGACATGATTCCAAAATTCTTGAAGGCCACCACCATGCTCCAAGCCCCTCTCGAGCTAGTCTTACAAGAACACCGCCCCGACTGCCTCGTCGCCGACATGTTCTTCCCCTGGGCCACCGATTCTGCAGCCAAATACGGAATTCCGAGGTTGGTTTTCCATGGAATTAGCTTTTTTGCCTTGTGTGCTTCGGAGAGTTTGAGACTTTACAAGCCTCAGACGACTGTTTCCTCCGATGATGAACCCTTTGTTGTCCCGAATCTTCCTCATCAAATCAAGCTGAGGAGAACCCAATTGCCAGAGCATTCTCGGCAGGAAACAGAGTCGGATTTCGGGAAGTTGGTTGAGAAAGTAAAGGAATCGGAGGTGAAAAGCTATGGAGTTATTGTTAACAGTTTTTACGAGCTTGAACCGGACTATGCTGATCACTACAGGAACGTTTTGGGGAGAAGGGCTTGGCATATTGGTCCGGTTTCTTTATGCAATCGGGAAATTGAAGACAAAGCACAGAGAGGTAAAGAAGCATCCATCGATGAACACGACTGCTTGAAATGGCTTAACTCGAAGAAGCCCAATTCAGTCATCTATATATGTTTCGGAAGCATGGCCAACTTTCCTGCTTCTCAGCTGTATGAGATCGCAATGGGTCTTGAGTCTTCCGGGCAACAATTCATCTGGGTTGTGAGGCAATCAAAGAATGAAGCAGATAAGAATGAAGAGAAATGGTTACCAGAAGGGTTTGAGGAGAGAATGAAAGATAGAGGATTGATCATAAGAGGTTGGGCACCCCAAGTGCTGATTCTTGAGCATGAATCGGTTGGCGGTTTCGTGACTCATTGTGGGTGGAATTCGACGTTCGAAGGAATCAGTGCGGGCTTGCCAATGGTGACTTGGCCAATGTTCGCCGAGCAGTTTTTTAATGAGAAGTTGGTGACTGACATTTTGAGAATTGGGGTTGGTGTTGGTTCTTTAAAATGGAAAAGGAGGACCGCAACTGGCGGTATTGAAAGAGAATCGATAGCAAAGGCGGTGAAGCGGGTTATGGTGGGGGAAGAGGCGGAGGAAATGAGGAGCCGGGCGAGGGAGCTTAAAGATTTGGCGAAGAAGGCTATTGAAGAAGGCGGATCGTCTCACTCTGATTTGAATTCTCTGATTCAAGAATTGAGTTTGTATCGCGCTTGAGACATTATTGTTGAAGCAAGATATTAGATCACCATGGATGAATATGTGCTTTGTGTTGTTGGTTGTTCTTGTATTTTTGGTTGTTCATTGTGTTTGTAAGTTAGGTCCTGGATTTGGTTCAGTAGAAGTTCAATAAAAGAAACAAAATTATTCAATTTGTCCAATAGAGATTCAATTTGCAAACATTCTTGAAAATGTTTGTTTCTGATGCAAAAATAAAAAATAAAAAATAAAAAATAAAATTGTAGTGCATGAAACAGAGTTTCCAAGTGCCTGTGATTGATCTCGTTTGTTTGTAGCTATCACAATTTCACAAAAAAAAAAAAATCAAGGGACTTCTTTTTAATTTTTTTTTTTTTTTTAATCTCACAATCAAACGATATATTCTTTTCAAAGTAAGATCTTAGTGTCTCCACTCCTCATATATAATTTTAAAGTAAATCTTAGTGTCTACTCTTCATGATTTAGGTCAAGTTTGGAAAGTCGCAAATAATTCATCTTTTTATTTTTTTTTCATCACATCACTTTTTTACTTTTCTACATATCTTTTTGTAAAAAGATAAAAAATATAATCAATCTCAAACAACCCCTTCGTTAGACAATCAAACCTGTAATTCAGAAAGCTTAGAAAAATTATGGCCCAAACTTTAGGTCCACTATGTGGTCAAAGTTGTCAGCCTTGATATTGTACCAATATCTGATGACGGAGAAATTCAGGGTTGCAAAGCATGCAGTCAAGAAGATCGACTAATAATTGTCATAAATGTATTCATATATGGCTGGCCAAGACATGAACAGTTTGCATCGACTAGCCAAGATATGAATTGTCCTTGTAATCGTCCTTTCCGCTTTGAGGAAGCTTGGCTTTCACATACTCAGTACAGAGACGTCTGTTCCTCTTGGAATCATGAGCTCTCTCTATTAATAATTTTCAACAGGTTGCTGCTGATTCCCTTACTTGGAATAAAGAAATTTTCAAAAATATTTTTAAAAAGAAAAGGGGGAAATGTTTCGTAACTCGAAACATTTTGCTCCGAATGGCTTGAGGGAGAAGACGCAGAGAGAAGCAGAGGGAGAGAAAGGGAGAAGCAGAGGGAGAGGGAGAGAAAGAGAGAAGCAGAGGGGAAGAGAGAGAGAGAGACGTCTGTTCCTCTTGGAATCATGAGCTCTCTCTATTAATAATTTTCAATAGGTTGCTGCTGATTCCCTTACTTGAAATAAAGAAATTTTCGGAAATATTTTTAAAAAGAAAAGGGAGAAATGTTTCGTAGCTCGAAACATTTTGCTCCGAATCGCTCGAGGGAGAAGACGCAGAGAGAAGTAGAGGGAGAGAAAGGGAGAAGCAGAGGGAAAGGGAGAGAAAGAGAGAAGCAGAGGGGAAGAGAGAGAGAGAAGACGATCGTCGCCCCGGCTAGCCGCCGATCATCGCCCCTCCCAGCCGCCGATCCGCCGATCGTCGCCCAGCCCAGCCCCGCCGCAGCCTCCGACCGCCGTCGCCCCGCCTCCGCCTCCTCCTCCCCCGAATATTATGCCCCCTCCAGTCCTCCTCCTCCTCCCTTCCTTCTCTTCCTCCTCCTCCTCCTCCTTTCTTCCTTCTTCTTCCTGGTCTTCGTTCTTCATCTGCAAAAAAAAAAAAAAATCGAGCCATTCGGGCTCCCCGTTTTCGAGCTACGTAGCACGATCGAAGAAAATGTGTCTTATTTTACATATTAAAAATATTCAAAAGCCTTTGGTTGATCATTTCTCTCATAATCTGTTTTTTCTTGAAAAAGATCTAATTTGTCAATATAATAAAACCCTCTTTCAAGAGCAGATCTTTTGGTTTCAAAAATCTAGAGTCGATTGAATTACTCAAGGTGAAAGAAACACCAGATATTTTAATGTGTCTACTATTTTCATCCCCATCTTAGTCATGTACATGTGTATTTGCACGTTTTGTTTTGTTAAGCTTGCATTTGTAGTTTCCATCTTGTTTTGTGCTTATGTGATTTGGCTTGCGTATTGTTTGTGTTCCGTCTCTTGCTCGGTGTGTAGCCGAGGTCTTGTTAAGCCTAGGTCGCACCTTTGAACCTCTTACACGTAGTACTATCTTGGAACCACCTTGTTTGACTTCCACCTCCACTCTGACATATTGGCCGAGATGTCATCATCTAGGCCGAGGTGTACTCCACCGAGGCCAAGATATGGACCAGTATAACCTTGATCCTTGCACCTAGTACTATCCCTGATCCTTTGCACCTAGTGGTCTTGTTCTAGACCGGTATAACCTAGGCCGAGATGTGGCACATCTAGGCCAAGGTGTGGCACATTTGGACCATGCGTTATCCATCCCGGCCGAGATCATTGGGACACCTCTTGCCAAAGCTTTGTCCTTAGCCGAGATCATTACCTGCTGGAGTGCCTATGCCATCTTGTTTGTTGAACACACTTTGTCATAGTCTTGTCTTTTCACTCAGTCACCTTTTTGAGAAAAGCCAACCAGCCGATGCCACGTGTCCCAGCAGAGGGTTAAGTCAGTGAGTTGTTGAGAAACACATCATTTTGTATCATATCCTGGTCTTTTAGAGAGAGAGGCTCTAGGAAGAAGAAGGAGGAGTTCTTAGAGAGGGAATAGATTTTCCAAGCTTGATCTTCACACCTTGAGCCATTAGATTCGTGTCTTGAGGTTAGAATCTTGATCTACTCTTGTTGTTCTTATTGTTCATCCAGCTGCATTGCATGATCGAGCACGATTTGTAAGCCATGCATTGATTTAAAGTTTGATCTTAGAAAGAGAAAGTGATATTTATGTGTTCTTGAATAAAAGCCTTGTTGATCCGAAAGCTTGCATCAAGATTCATGTTTTTGTGTTTGTCTTCATAAGATCTTCATGTATGGGTACTCAGGTCCATGTTTTCAAACTCATCTCATGAAATCCCAGATTTCGTAATAACAAGTGTGATTGAGCATTTATGTTTTTTATGTTCTTTAGCAAAGGGAAACCCAGATTTTCCTAACTTCATTTCCTTGAATGTGGCCATCAGGACCACACCTCGACAAGGAGGTGTAGGACCTCAGCCTAGACCTGGTTGGTGCCCATTATGTTTTCCGAGTTAAGAAACAATGTTTTGTTTTGGTCCTTTTGTTTTGGTCCGACTTAGTTTTGAAGGAATGCTGAGATCATTTGCATTCATGTAAAGCTTGTTTGAGAGTGCATTCAATAGACTTGGCCATGTGTTTGTAGGACTTGGACTCTTGCTTTGACCTCGATGTTCGAAGAACTAAGTGAGTGGTATTTTTAATAAAGCTATGTTATGACATTTGATAAAGCTTTGCCTTGCTTGCTTTGAAAAAGTATTTGTTAAGCATGAATGACTATCTCTATTTTGTGTATCAAGTATTAGCTTTGATTTTGATAACATTCTTGACAAGTCTGTACGTACTAAGGGACTATAAGCATTTGTAGCACAAGTCCGTACGTGCTAAGAGACTATAAGCATTTGTAGCACAAGTCCGTACGTGCTAGGGGACTCTAAACTTTTGTAGCACCTTTGTTAATGGTATCCCTTGTATTATATTGATGCTAGTGAGCATCCCTTGAAGTTTTGAAAGACTTGTTAGATGGACTTGGCTCATTCCTTGATTTCGTATTAGTTATGCTATGTATTGTTTAGAAAAGAGATCTTGGATATCATTCATGCAAAACCTTTATTACTGATATCATTCACTAAGTATCCAAGCTCACCCTCTATATATATATATATGTAGGTAATGAGTAGGACGGCGGTGACGGTGACGCCTAGATGCGTTTGGCATGATGTTTGCATTCATACTTTTGATAGCATCTTGAAGACTATGCTTCTTAGCTTGTGATTCATTGTATCTTGCATATGTCGGCTTGAGAAGCCTTTTGATCAAGATGTATTTTGTACTTTATTTGTTTGTATCCAAGTTGTAAACTATATTAAGATGTATGTCATTTAATTTGATCTATGCACAGCTCTCATGGACTATTTAGATTCAAATTTATTGCTTCCGCACATGTAAGCCCCATATGTATACTCTGGTCGTGTGTGACTTTGTCAGTTGGCCTTCGGTAATCTCGGATTACTGGCCATCACGGCACCATTCTACTAGGGGTGGGATGGGGTCATGACAGGTTGATATCAGAGCACGAGTTCCTTATAGTGCGTTATTCACACACTTTGAGTCCTAAAGAGCTTAGGATTTCCCTTAGAATGATATTAAGATTTGCATCATATTGCTTGCTACTTGACAAGGTGTGCATCATCTCGGCATAACTATTTGTTACTTGCATATATGTTATTCGTTCATTTTGTTTTGAAGTTATATTTTGCATACTCTTAGCATCATGAGAAGGGGTAGACCTCCAATTGGTCGAGATCATTCTAAAGACAGATTAGACAGACTAGAAAGGTTGGTCGAAAGTTTGGTCCACGAGTTGAGACAGCCTAGGCCACAGGATGCTAGTACTACCTCTACCGAGGCCGAGCAGACAAACGGCCGACATGCAGTCCCACCTCTACCTCCTCCAGTGCCGCAAGTGCCTCCACGGCAAGCCCTATATGGGGACGGCACCATAGCCTTGATCAGAGAATTCAAAAAGATGAAACCGCTGAGGTTCCAAGGGGGTATAGAACCGATGAAGGCCGAGGCATGGGTTTTGGAAATAGAGAAATTATTCGTGATTTTTCCCAGCACCGACGCTCAGAAGGTGTCATTAGCAGCATTTACGTTGGACGACGACGCACGAAGATGGTGGATAATGATCTGAGAAGGCAACCCAGGTTTGACTTGGGCTAGATTTTTGGAGTTGTTCTACTACAAGCATTTCCCCCTTAGTGTCCAAGACCGCAAGACCACAGAGTTCCAGACTTTGACACAAGGCAATAAGATAGTGGCGGAATACGACCGTGCTTTTACCGAGTTGGCAAGATCTACGCCCCATATGGTCGATGACGAATACAGAAAAGCTAGGAAGTTTGAAAGTGGACGGCGTGGACCGATACAGGATCGAGTTAACATGCTCAACATGCCGACTTATGCCAGAGTGTTAGACAAGGCCATCCTGGTAGAAGCTAACTTAAACCGATACCAGAGTTCAGGAGAGAGCCAGAGGAAGAGGCAGAATTATGATAATCGCCGAGTCCCATTTAATGCCAAA